GGGCGAGAGTGGAGACGATCGGCCGGCCAAGCTGCAAATTGCGGCGACTGACACGTGTTCTTAGTATAATTAACTTGATTATTGTATGGGCCAATGTACTTCCCGCTACAGCTTCTAATCTTGAACCGAAGACATTTGTTCCTGATCAGCAAAATTCCACTCTGTGATTTCTTTAAGTCCTAGCTGTCCAATACTTTCTGCCCATCCTTTGGATGTCCTTTCTATCCCCTCTGTAGCCTGGTTGCGTGGTACTTAGCGTGGGTACAAATAAGTTAATGTATCATCAGTAGATCGAGTCCTTGGAGGTGGATCGTATGTCCAAATGATTGCACCATATCGATCCACTCCGATGATTACGTAATCTTCAAGATGATGACGTAGTCCCTGACGCGCCGTCGTCGTCCACGAGTCTCAGAGCTGGATCGGGTCACCTCCCATCAATCAGTCCCTTGTTCCCAGAAGCCAACTGTCACATCACCACATATGTAGCATGCCGACGTAGGAACGAGAACTTTAACGATAAATCCAAATGTAACTTGTTGTATTCTGATTTCTTCTCTCTTTAGAAGAAAAATCACAACTGAGCTTCACCCCCACGGTCTCCCCACGACCAAGAAGCTCCTTACCTGTCCGCAAATCTCTCCTAAGTGGCGGTCCACAACGGGGTACCTCCACATTCCCTTCACTTTTGTCCCATTCTAGACGTGGAACACCGACGTCTGCTCCTCATGGCCTCTTCGGTAGGAGTCCTACTAGGACGTGGTGCGCGGAGTCTCCAGCGAGCAGACTTTTTGAATGCAATCCGCGAGAAAGGCGAATCCACCATCTAGCTGTAGACCGCGACACTACTTGAGGCGGTTTAAGTTGCAAGTCTGATCCTCAGGTGTGATAAGACAGACGGACGGCGTCAAGTCGCGTCTTATATGTTTCTAAAAGCATTTATAGGGGGAGAAAATAAAAAGCAGATAAAAGGCCACTTTACCACCATGGATATTCGCTGGATATTGTACAGTACGATTTCAGAGCTTCTCATCGCATACTATGTATAAATCGAACTACTAGCTGATTCGCTTGATAGCACTGTAGCAATGGTCTCAGACTTTAACAAGGCGAACAATGATGGAAAAATAAGGGGAGGATGGGTAGTATACCGGCATCAGCAGGAAAGAGGATGGACATTCGTGCTGGCAGGATGCACCCACGAACGAAATAGGCGCAGCCAAATCGAAACCCCAGCCTACGTAGTGCACCAAGGAATCAAGGAGTTAGCCGCCAGAACGCTCTACACCAAGCTTGCTTTTTTACGAGTTATCACTCTGGATGCAACACTAGAACAACGTATTGCAAACAAAGAATGTGAAGTAAATTCAAGATTGGCTAATCAACTCTACGCTCAATCCGCTACGGCACATGCTAAAAACCACATACGCGACTGTGTGGGAAAAACCTACACAAGCAAAAATACAAGCAGCCAAGCTCCTAGTTTCCAGAGACAGCACCCACACCTTGACATGCAGCACCAAGTGTCATACGGAGCTACGTCCGCAAAACAGAACCACAGACCCCAACAGGTCATATGTATTTTTATATATAAATTCACTGATAGGCCGGATACATAATCTCGAGTTTACATGTATATCAGCTTTTTTTATATATCTTTCATCTGTATCCATAGCAATGGTCTAAACGGAGTCTTTTGAAAACTAAAATTAATAATAGCAAGGGATTCTATTTGTTGAAACAAGCGAAGGACGTCTTCAAAATTAAATACTGAAACCGATATGATTTTATTGGTCGTATTGAGTACCACATATTTTCTTTGCAATAGCTACCGGTATTAAACACAGCGGTTTAGAGGATTCTAGTTGCATGGATCTGTGTGTTACGGTACTTCACTCTATTGGCACTGCGCTAAGCGAACCACCAAAGCATGGATCATATTTTTCTTAGTTTGAAATCCGACAGTGGCTGCGGATTGCGTTTCAACAGTAAAGAAAAATAAAATATTTCACTACCCTTTTACTTTTATGAAAAAATCAAAGAAAGCAATCAGGAGTTGTGATTATTAGGCCTTCACGTCGTCATTATTTCCACGAAGTGGGGTCTTTCGCCTCGCTTTCATAAGTCCAGCTACTCCACCACCAACCAAGACGGGTCCCTCCGGCTCACCGTCGTCGAAGGACATCGAACCTGCTTTCCTGCTTAATCCCTTGGAACCGGATTTTTCAAGCCAAATTGGCTGCTGCTTCGATTTGCGACTTCCATCGTTCATGGAGTCATCGTCGTCGGCTCCAGCGATTCGTCGACTAATTCCGGGAGCTGAATTCGGTGGCGGGAATACATCTACCATCATCTGCGTCTCCTCAACAGGAACCGACCGCGGAGGGCGTAACGCAGCAACTCGTCGTACATGTGAGGCACGACTTCCACGTACGCAGGTCGTTCTATCTGCGTCGAAGTGATCTGCATTGTTGCCTTCGTCGTCGTTTCTTGCCGCTTGAGCCATGAGAGCTTGGAGTCTTCGCTGCAAAGCTGCTGAACAGCTAGCTTGGATAAAAGAACTGAACTGTTCTTCACTTGTAGAGCGTAAGAATCGCACGATTTTGATCGACGCAGTCTTTATCATTGGACTCGGATGCGTCATACACGATCCAAGGAATGGCACAACGTTCTCCAAGCCTAGTGGCTCTGACGATGATTTTGCGCCTCGACCGGTTGGTTTGCGCCAGCTTGAAAGTGCTCCTTCTCCACTGCTATCAATAACAACTAGAAATTCATAAAGAAGTTCCAGTCGCAGAGTCAGTTGCCAGCGTAGCTTAGTGAAAGCGATTTTCCTTGCTACTATCGATTCTCCAGCACTGCCACTCATATCACTTTGCTCTGGAGCACTGAGGATAGCGTTACAGACAGCATTCTTCCCTACAGCACTTTTACCCGCCACAAGACGCAGTATATCTCGTACTTTCAGGCGGACCCGAACATTCTCACTAGCGCTTTGCTGTACAACACTACGGATCGTGGAACCCAGTACGAGATGCACTCCCCACTCTCCCCATGGAATTGCATAGCTTGCATTTTGAGTCGGAGGGTCAACGAGTAGTTGAAGCAAGTCAAATGCAGCCAAGCAGACAGTAGGTGCCGCGTCCAGAGTGAGCTGCTTGACCAAAAGACAGCAAGTCTCCCAAGCGCCTTTGAATGCCATATCTGGAGAGGAATCTACGAGATAATCCACCAGTTTATCAACCCCAAGACACCGTTGAACACGACTATCAGTCGGAGACGTAAGCAGTTCAGTGATTTCTGCAGTACAAATCTGCTGGAGCTTGTGAGCATCGGCACCCAGCACTCTCTGCAGCTTCCTCCCGCTCTCAATCTCTGATCGGCTACTATCGTCGTTCTCTCTACTCATGGAACTTGGAAGCGTCTTGGTTATCTGCACCACACTACGTGTGATAGTCTCTCGGATCGAAGGCTTAAGCTCAGCTAAGAAGCTGTTGAGATCCACTTCGCCATACGAATCGTTCGTGCCGCCATTTGTGGCTTCATAGATGGTCACGTACGTTGTAATAGCAGCATTGCGTACATCAACGTGTTTGTTTTCCAATGCTGATATGACGATACCCAAGATACGTGACACCTCTGGTTGTTCGTGGTTCTCACCCGCTGGCGCCTCTCTTACTAGCATCGTGAACAACCTCAACAGCTCTCCGATAACCAGTGGAGAAGATGCTACAGCGCTTGATGAAGACGTTAGCTGCTGGTACTTTTCAGCCAGCATTTTACACATCCGAGCGTGGCCAACGTGTGTTAGAGACGCCATTGAGTGCAACAGCGTAAAGCAGTCTTGTCGTAGTCGTTGCTTGGTATCTCCCAGCTTCTGTAGCACCAGACCCACCACATTCTCCAAGATTTCATCCACATATTGATTCTCCGAAGACACCAAAGGCAAGAACTCGGCAGCTATGACTTGAAACAAGCGCAAGGCGCACTGGAAAACACGAGCGACCGTGTCGTTCAAGCCGATTTCGAGCATCTGAGCCAGCATCCCAAGTGCCTCCAGTGTCTTTGGCAGAGCAGAGTCATTAACCACTCGACCGCTGGCACAACACAAAACTTGGCGTTCGACTTCTCGAATTGCAGCCTCACGCTGAGCCCACGCCTTGTCCAGTAGACAACGCACCAGTTCTTCTCCAAAGCCTTGAATGATGTTAGAGAACATTTTCCTCTGCTCAGTGGTTAATGCTGTACCATAAGGAAGCTGAACAGATTGAGACTGAGCTGCACTGCTCGATTGTGAAGAACTAGTTGCAGATAGTGAAGGGTTAGTGAGTACTGGTCGATGTTTCGTGGACGATCCAGAGGCAGTAGGCGGACGAATCGTCCCTGAAGTACCAGGTCGAGCCGTTTCGGTGGGGATATCGAAGTCATCCACCTCATCCATGAGCATATCGGACTCCATCACGCCTCTTTCCACCAGTTTAGAGATGAGTTTCTGGCGAGAAGACCGAGCTAGAGCGTCTAGAAACGGCATCGCGGCACTACGAGCCACTTGCATCGTGTCAGCCACAATCTGCAGCGACATCTGACGCACATTCTGGTCCTTGTGCTCACAGACTTGTAGTGCAAGTTGCAGCATGTTTCGAATCGGCAACAGCCCTTCGTCATCCGAGCTCTCGATGATACCGAATTCCAGCATCAGCTTCGACACGAGAGCCATTTTGTTGGTCAAGTACGTGGCTGATAGTGTTTGTGGAGACGAGTTACGGTCGCATGCTATCAGTTCTTCCAGTAGAAATACCGGACCGATACAAGAAGCCTGTCGGGATAACAGCAGCAAGGCATCTTCTGTTGCAACGTGTAGTCGGTTCTTGGAGTCTCCGAGTTTAACCAGTAGACGAGGGATCAATGGACGTATCAAGTCGTGTACAACGTTCACATCCGTAGGAGAAGCCACTGCACCCTCGCACGCGATACTAACCTCCATGAGCAGCGAAACTCCAGCCTCAAAGACCGAGTTGACGCGATCCTGAAGCGCCTGCATTAGTGTCGTTTGCATCGCACTTACGAGAGTTCGACGGGATGCATTTTGACTGGCAAACGAGAGTTGACGCGTCTCCACCAAGTACTGCAAGTAGCTCAAAGCCTCGACTCGAGGAGCCCATGCATTTGAGAATAAACACCGCGTCGCCTTTTCTCCAAAACATGCCAGCATGTCACCTGCGAGGTCTTTATTCTGTCCTTGGATGGGCTCTGCGTACGGTAGATCATCTTCTCGTTGAGAGGCTTTAGTACGCGGTGAGAGCATCGCTGTGCGGATGTCAAAAGCAGCAGTATTACTGTTGTCAATCCCATTCCGACCATCCGTGTCTGAAGACTCATCAGCTCTGTTAGACAACCGTTTACTCTTTTGAAGAGCATTCTTCAGTCCAGTGTTGATCTTGGCTTGAATAGAGGGTTTTAACTGTTGGTTCTGTTGTTTAAACAGAGATTCACACCAATTCTTCGTGTGCTCATAAATCCCATCAGTTGTCCCCTTCATTCCTGCAACAAAATAAAAGTTAGTAATGGAACGGGATTTTTTATCACAAAAATGCGATCCTTACCAGACTCTTCACATCGAATTACAAGGCACTGTACCAACAGATCGATCGAAGCTGTTCGTACGTGAACACTGGAATTTTCTAACCCCACCATACTGATTTTCAGAGCGTCAGCGAAGCTTAACCCGCTAGTCTTCTCGTCCAACCGATACTGGTTGGTAATCGCGGTAAGGACCTTAATCGCCACGAGCTGATGACGCCGCGATACGTTCGTGTTGGATACAGACGGCTCGGTACTATTCTGACTTGGAGACAGCGGTGGCGTCGTAGACGACATCATCATTTGTGAAATCTGTAGCGTCAAATATCGCGTGATATCTGTGCTCTTACAGATCAAGAAAAGCAGTGATGACACGGCTTCGCTCGAGTCTTTCTCATTCGAACCTGCTCCTCTTAGCAGCAACGCAGTCGCAATACGCTGAAGCACTGGACGTTCCTCATGAAACCCTTTAGTATGGAAGTCTTTGTCACTCATCACCGCATTAAATGCAATCTTCAGCAGCGACGTACAGCAGCTCGAAGCCACTTGTGAAACAGCATCTTGGAGAGCGATTTCCATCATGAAACATGCGCCATCAAACATTTTCACGAGTTTCTTCCCTTTGAAAACATTCTGGAAACACATACTGGCATCATTGATCGCTGCGACGCGGGTCTTCCACGCTTTACTCCTAAAAGCTCTAGCTATTTCAGCTCCGAAGGCACTTTTCACACTTTCCATTCCCCCTTTAGTTTTGTCATCTCCTTCAAACTCGTCGTCATCGTCATTATCTCCTGAGCCTGTTTCTAGATCATTATCCTCATTCTGTACATCATATTCATCTGGGAGTAACAATGGCAACACAGCACTATGAGCCACGTCCACGGGCGTTCTCCCGTCACCGTCACAGGCGTGAACATCAGCTCCTGCTTCGATCAATAACTTGACGATCGCTGGGTGGTTTTGGGCACTGGCAAAATGTAGCGGCGTCTTACTGTTCCTCCGAGTACCGGACAGTTCAGCATTGCACTCAACAAGAAAGTTCGCGACGTCTTCATGGCCTCTAAAGCTGGCGATCTGTAATGGTGTAAATATCCCCAGATCTTCATCTCGAGGCTCAATATCACCGCGATCACTATAGTCCGTATCAATATCTGCTCCGTTCGAGACGAGCCACTTGACCAGTGAGAGGTTACCACTACTCGCAGCGTAGAACAAAGGAGTGTGTCCAAAGGCATTGGGCTCATTGAGAAAGGCTGTGGCAAAGCCTTCGCACATGAGCAAATACTTGCACGCGTCCACGTTACCATTATCACAGGCATAGTGCAGTAACGAGTTGTTGGTTTTCGGCTCTACGATCGACTGGATCGAACTCTGAGCGTTGGATTCAGACTCATCATGGAGAACGACCTGGAGATAGTCCCGAACTGCTTCGAAATCGTCCTGCTGCGCTGCTTGGAACAGTTCCTTGAGCGTCAGCTTCTGTGCATGATCTTTGGTCATCGAGAGGATTCGATTTATGCCTTCTAGAGTGAGGGCTGCGTCAATATCTTGGCACCGACGACTCGTTGCAACGGACACGATGCCAGGAACCGACGTCCATCGAAAAACTACTAATTTCTCAAAATATAAGCACTACATTGTGTTGCTTCTGCAGAGTAGGTCGACAATTTGACTCATTTGAGGTCTTTGGGCTGGATTCGGTTGTAGTAGCATCCGAAGGAGTGATCTCAAGGACGAGCTTGTCGCGATGGGGAGTTTTTGAAGAAGTTCACCGATGCTTTTGGTGTGGAAGATGAGCGATTGCGTACTTTGTGCTGGTTGGTTTGGAGCCGATAGGATTAGTTGTTGTCGTTGCCACATGAATAAAGCTTCGCATAATGCACAACCAAGCATCCAGGAGTCAGCTTTTGCTGTGATTTGAGCTTCTTTCACGACTTCGGGTGGTGCGTAGTTATAGTTGAAACAATCGTGCATGTTGGAATCTTGGAAATTGGCAGCTTCGAAGTCGTGTTTCCACGCTGATAATCCGCCGATTTTCACGTGGATAGAGTTATCAGCGCTGCCGGCAATGTAGACATTCCCCAAGTTGACATTCAAATGTAGTAAACCAAGACTGTGCATAGCTGCTAGCCCGGATGCAACTTCTCGGAATACGTTCCGTAAATGCTGCTCCACTGCTGAATATTTGACATTTTCGTTAATGAAATGTCTTTGGTAATGAATCAACCAACTGCCGCAGTCGAAGTATTCTGTTACAACGAATACAACTGGCCGGCATTCAACGAGTAGACCCAATTCTGAGAACAATTGAAACATGTGCTTATCCACAGACTCCACCTCTGCTACAAAGGGACTTCGTAGAGTTTTCTGCATGTTTGCTACTTGAGAAAAAATATAGCCCGCCATTTTCTCTGTCCGACATGGAATTGTTTGAAGAACGAGGCGTTTGGATAATCGTTTGGACTTCACACTATTGTCCCTGGCTGCGAGAACCATTTTATGAGGTGGGGTGAAAGATAAACAACGCTCAAACTCAAGACGTAATAGACATCCAGACGGATTCACGCAGTGCTCAACCAATCGAATGAAAGCGTCATGTGCAGCGTCCTCAATACGCAGCAGTGGACGCTCAAGGATCCGTCGATTGCGCTCGAGCATGATCACCATGTGACGCTCTTCGATGTACATTGATTTCCGCTCTTGCTCTTCATTTTCAAACACTTTCACTCGCTCTGGCACTTCAGAAGTGGGCGGTTCATTGGCATGTTTTCTTGGTGATCGTGTGGCTTTCTTCTTGTGAGCCCTTCGTCGAGGTTTATCGTTATCGGATGACTCCTCAATGGCAATCGATTCAACGAGTCTAATGAGAGAAACTAAGGTTTCTCGTACAGCCATAAAAATGGTATCTGTTTGCTCTCCGAATCCAACGATTTCGTACTTCGTATCCACAATACTCGAGTTTTGTTCTTGCTTATCTTGTCGAGCTGGTTCAATTATTTCGATAGGAATGCCATTTTTTCCGTCTCGCTCCTGAACAAAGCGGAGCTCTTCAGCTTTCACGCGTAACGTTAGCATTGTAGGCCAGTGACTGCGGTATTCGCTCTCAATTTCCTCTTGTTCCCTTCTCCACAGTTCCCATTTTCTCCTTCGACACAAACAGCAATACACGGGAGAACTCTCTTCCAGTCGAATTAGTCGATGGTGATGGTTTTTTTCCCATTCTTCTTTCGGTGCCACAAAACTCTCACGTTCTGCACCAAAACTTTTCTTCTTTTCTCGTTGTCGAGCAGCTTCTAGCTGCGCCTCATGCTCTTTTAGGACAGCAAGTTCATGTTCGATCTTCTTCGCTGAGAGTGCCCCCATTCTTGCTTGAGCAAGACTTACTCCACCGGACGACGCTGCTGCTATAATCGCTGCAATATCATTTTCGGCGTCCTCAACGGCTGCTTTAACACCAGCATAATGATCCAGCACCTCCTCTAAAATACTCACAAACTCTCGGAACTCACTTACAGTGATCAAATGTGGACCAATAGCATCCTTCTTGTCAGCCTGTGACACAAAATCAACTAAGAATCGCTGCAACTCTGGGGAGCCAAGAAGCTCAGCGAGTCCTCGAACTTTGGCGGCATACTTTTGTGGTTTCCTAAAGTGACAAACCAGTAAGAAAACACTCAATCTACCACTCATAAAAGAACACTTACTCTTTTGAAAAGACTCCAAACAGGATTTGAAGCAAGTGTAGTTTGCCCGTTCCAGCTTCATCTATTGTATCGAAAACATTGCGCACATTCTTGTCATATTTCAACTCAGAGAGTCTCTCCTCAGCCATCGTTTTCTCGGCAATTTCCGGCTCAAGTTTCATTTGCATTTCTCTTTTGCGTTCCTTCATCTCCGCCAGCATCTGCGGCGTCGTAAGCAATAGTATTCGTTGCTTCTGTAACTCGGTACTGCACTTAATCTTCCCAAGCAGATACTTCATGAGATCGGAACGAAACTGAATCAACATGTGCTGGTGCTTCTGCAACGACTCGACTTTCGCATGGTGTTGTCTTCGAACTCTTCTCACTGCTCGTCGTTTTACTTCCCGTTCTAACTCACGTTCTTGTTGCCATCTTCGTGATTCCTCTGCAGTAAATAAACTCCCCACTTCTCGTGGCTTTTTACTCTCCTCTGAACCTCCAGTGCCAATCTTTGGTATCAAAATATTCGTATACGCTGTGACTGTGCGATCATGAAGATGTTTCTTCTTCTTCTCATCATTTGCTGCGTTTTTCAAGAATCTCTTTTCCGCTACGGGTGACATGAATTTCCGCTTAACTTTTGTTTTTTTCACTTGTTCGGCATTTTTCTCAATGTTTTCGATAATTTTCACCATGACATCCGCCACGCCAACTGCGACGGAGTAGACGCTGTACTGTTCTCGTGGTTTCTCGATGTCGATGGGTTTGTGTGCATTGTCGACGGTCTCACCTGAAACTTCGGGTTCTTCGTCGGGTAATTCCCACACAGATTCGCCTGTGATGCTGTTGTAGAAGTAAATGTTGCCATAGTCGTCCGAGTGCACCTGCCACTTGCCCGTCTGCGTCATGCCCAGCGCTGTATAAACCGATAATAACCGGTTGGCACAAGGACGTTACACGTGGCAGATCTAAGTAGCATGAGCTCGACGGTGTCGACTCTGCTGTCCTTCCTGTTTGTAGGGGCGCTCTGGGGATGTACCAACCCGCTTATTAAACGAGGTGAGGGACTGGGCCAGTTGATGAGGCGCTTGATAGAGAGTTGCTGATGAGTTTACTCGGATAATGTGGTTTTCGGGTGTGCTGGAATAATTAGGAAGCGATGACAACGTTATCTATACTCGAAAGGACAATAGCGTCGGGGAATTCGCTAAGCAACTTGTGGGACTGGTGAGGAACTGGCAGGTGAGACTTTGAGTCGTTGCAGATAGATTTTTTTATTCCTACTGGGAAGTTTACAGAGTTGCGGGGTTTTGTTGTCTTTTGTTATAGTTTGTGTTGCCTTTCGCTCTGAACCAGAGTGGATCTGTCGTCTACGTCTACCTGCTCGGCTCAGCAGGTGCGTCTTCCCAGCAGCGCTGCTACAAGCTTTATCCTTGTTACGTACATGTATTGACTTTTATTCTCTGGTGCTTGATAGACATCTCGAATGCTGTACCCATTTGCAACTCGCTGACATTCGTGTTCACGGCCATCACAAGTCGTCTCCTTGGGGAGAAGCCTCAGCGCCCTGCCTGTACGTGCAAGAACCTCCTTCTTCGCTGGAGCCATGATTCCATCTATCTGACTGACCGTCAATTTGTTTTGCTTGCCGCCTTGTCTACGCTATTCGACGATGTCACCGCTATAACGCTGTAGCCACTTACACCGGCATGGTGCTTATTCTTCTGGGTGTGGCCATTTGCTTCAACAGCAAGCAAGGCATGTCCTCGCCATAGGATGGATACACACGTGACCTGCAGCACCGCGCGTTCCCCATACAAATGCCCATACAAAAAATGTAGTGGTGTTGCCACACCAAAAATACACAAGTAAAAAACACCTTTACCATGAGCAGCTCAGACGAAGATGATGGCGACTACGTCCCCGAAGGTGCGCCGTATTCACTCGCAGTCGCTGCTCTATGCACCTATTAACTGTTTTCACAATCCGTAGCCGACGAGGAAGAGGACGGCGACGTCATTGAAGCGGATGATACCGCAGATATGCAAGGAAGCGTCACAACGGACTCGCACCTGGATGCACTGTGGGATGACATTAATGCGTCTACTGCGGTGTCCAAGACGGCAGCGAACAAGACAGCAAAGTTACTGAGTGGGATGACTAAGAAGACCAAGCCTAAGCGCTCAGCCGTCAAGAAGAAGAAGCGGAAACTACGCGAGTTCTCTTTTCCCATACTTAGTGTGGACGTTAAGAAGTCCAGGAAAGACTTAACTAAGTTCGCAGCATCCAACCAAAAGGTGGAGCGAGTGGTCAAATTCGCTGGAAAGCAATACAACGTATCAACGAGTGCTGGTACTGTTAAATCCGAGAAGAAAGGGCTGGATAAGGTGTTGGAATCACTCGATGAGCCTAAAAAGGTGTCGACAATGGAGAAATCGTCGCTTGACTGGGACAAATTCAAGGAGAAGGAAGGCATCGAAGACGAACTCACACACTACACTAAAGATGGGTACATTGAGAAGCAGGAGTTCTTGCAGCGACTGGATCTCAAACGCTTTGAGATCGAGAAGGCTGAGCGTGATAAGCAACGCAAACTCCAGCAGCAGCCACCGAAATAAAGAAACAGCAGCAAAAATCTACTTGAAGTGTTCTTCGGTCCATCGTTATCATCTTATAAAACAGAAGAAAAAAACAAGCGAGGTCGCTGAAGTTCCCACTGGTCATGCTGTCTAGTCCACATCCATTGGGATGACATCCGGCGCCGTGTTGTCCTTTCCTTCATCCTGAACAGAACCGTTTGCTGTACTGGCACTGGCATCTGCTCCGTCGTCCGCGTTTCCTCGCTGATCCTTGTCGTCTCTATAGAATTCAGCCTCGTGCTGCCGCTTTCCGTCGTTATCGGTTCGCGAGTCGGGGTCCGCCGCATCTTCATCCTCCTCACGCAGCATGTGTGTAGGAGGCGCTTGATTCATCTGAACGCTCGGAGCTCCGGTTAACGCTCGGAGGTTCTCAAAGATTTTATGCCTGGTAAACATGTCGAGGTTAGTAGGGTGACAAAGGTACCATGGCTGGTTGTTAACATACTTGCACTCGTCCAGATACTCCTTGGAATTGGCGTTTTCTAGGTCCGGATCTGGTTCCAGATGAAGCTTGAAATTCGGTGCGTAGAACTCAAAGTAGTCATTGTACGGAATGTTGTTGGACACTTCTTCGTCCAGCAGAATTGACGTCTCGTAGGCCCATGCTCGCGATACATTACGGATTGTGTAGCCGCCTCCTCCCAGCACGAGCATTGGCAGACCGAAACTTTTCACAAATTTCACGCACTCACCGTGACCTAGTAGCAGAATTAATTAGTGTAAGTATGAATCGTAACGATGGTACCAAATAATAGTGAGTATACCTCTCGTAGTGACGTTGAAGCAGCCCAGTCGGTCACCCGTGAGCGAATCTGCACCACACTGTAGTACCACAGCTGACGGGCAGAACGTCTCCATAACCTTCTGGATTACCGGTTTAAACACGCTCTCGTAGCTCTCATCGTTCATGCCGCTCAGCAAGGGGAAGTTAACAGCGTAGTATTTACCATTCTTGGTCCCAATATCCTGTAAACGAGCATTCAATGAGTTTTTATCCACAACAAAACTCGTTTGGCCACAGTTCATACCTTGATGTCTCCTGTGCCCGGGAAAAAGTCTCCATACTTGTGGAACGACACCGTCATGACTCGGTCTGTGACGTAGAAGGCTTCCTCCACGCCGTCTCCATGGTGGACGTCAATATCAATATACAGCACGCGTGGATGATACTTCAGCAGCTCCAGGATGCCCAGCACGATGTCGTTCACGTAGCAGAAACCCGATCCCTCCGATTTTTTGGCATGATGCAGCCCTCCCGCCCAATTGATAGCAATATCGCACTGTCCGTGGTTCAAACGGCTCACAGCGTCTAACGTTCCTCCCGAGTAAATCTGACAGAAGTCGAAGATGCCGTCGAACACAGGGCAGTCGGTCAGGTCGCCCAAGTTGTCTGCATAAAATAATTATGAGCCTTGTCCCCTCTTTCAAGCGCTGATTACTGGTATACTCACGTACACTTTTGCAGCTCGGAGGTCAGATCCTTCTGGTTACTGGGACTGATTTTCTGCAGGAAATCAATGTAGTCGGGTGCGTGGAAGGCTTTGATCTCCTCGGCCGACGCGATGTGCGGCTCCTGTAAACGTAGAACAAAGTAGAGCGAGGTCAGCTCACTTTTTGTAGAATACAGAGGCTGTCTGCCACGTACGAAGATGTCCATCTTTCGGTACAGGTCGTAGTTGACCACCAGGTGGTGTGCCAATTTCATGCGGTGCGGCTTCATGGGGTGGCCCGGGCCATAGTAGAAGTGGCCTTCCTCGGCTGTGAGAGGGAGGGCGTAGTATGGTGGGTTAGTGTAAGGATGCGTGTAGAGAGAGCGGAGGGACAGCTGGACGTACGATGGTAGAAGTACGACACGCGCTTCTTGGTGGCGCTTGCCATCTTGGCTGCGAATGGTGCCGTTGGAGTCAAGCCCCATCCCGGCGGGAATAATGTTCTTGTTATTTGTATTTTTAGAACCCGTGGGTTCTTCCCATGGGCTATAACTAAAAAAGGGCTTTTTATATTTTTGATTGTAGCCCCCCCCCCCCCTATAATTGTGTGTATTTTTTTGTGATGTACATCACTCTTATTTACAGTCTCATATCTTTTTTTTTACTAATTAGATACATTAGTTCTCTGGATATTTATATCCTAACTTTCCGCTGGAAAGCGTCGACGATCCTGTCAAATAACATGTTTGTGGATATATCTGTAATTATTTGAAACCTAAGAGCGAATATTTATATGCTAAAATGACGCAGAAACTAATAAACTGTTTTCTTGTGTGCCCAAAAGGGTGAATGTTGTCCCAATCTGCCTAGAAAAACATTCAAGCAACCTTGTACGAATGTGATCCAGTCACATTCAAGCTACCTTATGGCTTCAACTTAGGGATTGAAGCCACTTCTGCTTCCTAGCAGAGGTGCGTTCATGACTCACCAAGGCTCCACTACAAGTAGAGACCTTCGACACAGTAACAAGTGTCCCCGTCGCAAGACGGATGAGATTTCATCTCGCGTTCGCACTTCCAGTGCCTCAGCTTATAGCTGACTCCCTTCCAGGGTGGAGCGCCGGGCATAGTTGCTTTCGAGTAAATCAAGACTCTCCACGACTTCACAAAGCCTTCACGTTCACTTGAACGATTAGCAAGCCCGGCTTGCACACACTCTTCTCATAAGAAAGCCCAGCTCTCTTCGAGGCTGAGCCCCGTTGCCCTCTACCTCCTCGAGGCACAACAGAACCCAGTTCTTCCCCAGTAGGGCGCCCCGCGCCTGCGGGGAGTTGCCGTTTTTCGGCGATGGCTCGAAGAGTTAACTCGCCCTTAGGTACCTGGTGCTTCTGCACGTAAAGCATCGGAGGATGCTGGCACTCTGTTCCTCAGCAAGAAGCTCTGCTTCTTCACCTTCAGCATAGGTGAGATCCATCGGTTCCGGAACGCTGGGAGAGCTCGCGCAACTAGCTCACCGACCAGGTCGAGCCAGCTTGAAGTTATGTTCGGCATTCAACCACCGCCTTCTCGTAAGAGGTAGGGTGTCCACGGAATACTTCCGTTCGAGCTGCGCTCATGCGGAGTCCCTCCATGAACACGGTCACAGTGACCAGTTCCGGAATAGGGTCTGCCTCCATCCCGGCAATCAGAGTTCTCAACTTTTGGACATGTCCCAGCAATTCCTTCTTACCCTGCCGGGTAGCAAGGAACTTTGACCGAACATGGTACGCCTGATTAGGCGAACTCGCGCGACATTTGCTACTTATCCAGTTCATGACAAAGAGTTGCATGCGATGAAGTATGCTTTAGTCAAGTTGCTACACTCCAAGCCTTTTGTGATCTATACTGATCATACGTCGTTACGCACAGCAACTCAGTCGCCGCATCTCTCTCAGATAATGGCAAGATGGCTTTCATTCTTTACCGAGGATAACTTCGAGGTGATCTGGGGCGCTTAACGTAGTGGCCTACGCGGTGTCGCGCAGGTCGGACTACGAGTTAGCCCATGTCACAACCGTAACGTCGTCAGTGCCTGACTTAATACGCACAGCGTATGCACAAGACGACATGTGTGTAGCTTTGCTACGTGCTCTAGGGAGCGAAGAGTTTAAAAACTCAGACAAGGCGTTGTCTGGGTAGATAGTTAAACATAGGTAGCGGTTTGGCCGCAATAAAAATAAATAAAACACTTCTGGGTTTAAAGCATAAGAGTTATTAGTGTTCTTAATAAATTTGAGCCCTGTTTCTTGGGCTGTAAGCTTCCTTCGGATCAGGAACTTAGTTTTAGGAACTCTTTGAGTCGTACGTCTTCCTCTGACGCTTAGCTAAGGCGGCCCGCTGGACTTGGTAGTACTTGCAGAAAATCCCGCACCTGGGTCGGTTGACTGTACCCTCTGCGACGATGGAACACTCAGTGTTCGCGATTTTGCGCCCAGGGCTGCAGGACGCGCTTAACAAGCTCATGTCTTTACTTGGCCCGGAGGGCGTGGCTCATCTTGCGTCGCAAGTTCCAGAGGCGGGGGCCGCCAGGCTGGAAAAAGATGAGCGCCGCAACGGCGGCAGCGTCGGTGACGCGTGACGTGTCTGCTAGACCGAAACCGCTCTTGGTGAGCGTGAAAGTCTTTGTGGGGAAGGATGGAGAGAATCTCCATCTCTGGACCCGTGGAGTCGAGATGTCCATAAGATCGACCCTGCTCCAGTCTGAGCAATAGCGCGCCGCGCTGGCTATCTCCAAGTTTGGATGTCGCGCTCGCGAGTGGGCAACTGACGTGCGGTATGTCAGTTGACACTGCGTCCCCACTTGGGATCAGGGCTAGGCTTAACCAATTACTTGCACAACTACAGCGCGAACTACGCGGAAATGGCGCGGACATTGTCGGATCTCCTTAGAAGGATGCACCGTGGTGCTGGAACGTTGACCACGACGAAGCCTTGAGGCTGTGAAGGAGAGCCTGTTACAGGCGCCAATTCTTGCGCTACCGGACCCCAAACGTCCGTTTCGCGTCGTCCGCGACGCCTCCGATTTTGCAATTGGTTGTGCTTTAATACAAGCAGAAACCGATGGGCGTGAACGTGCGATCGCGTTTGTTTCTTTCCAGCTCAAAGCTACAGAGAAGAATTAGCGCTACTGGCGCGAGCACGAGGCCGAGGCGCCGTGGTCCTGGATATTGGTTTGTCAGAATTTGATAGCAACGAGGTTGCTGTTTGTCCTGATGAGGATGAGCGTGGAGTGGCACGTAATCCACTGAGTGGTATGGATTAGTTGTATGGATCTGGTCGAGGTCCTACCTGTAACGGGGTTACACGCAAGTGGCTACATGTAGCCACTTGATTACGACAATGGGTTTCACGTTGGTGTGAGATACACCAATGGTTACATTTGACAGACCACTGGTCTGTGTGCATTTAGACTTCCTATTGGTTGAAAGGCGATCTCTTTCAACCAATTAGCTTAGCAG